CTACCCATACATCTTAAACTTTGTCATAAAGTATTTCATCTTGCATTTTGCTCAGATGGGCAGATCCTCATATCACAGAAAATGTAGCTGTTTGTTATGGTGGTTAGAAAAGGATCTAGGTTGTATTAACAGGTAAACACTGAAGGCAAAATAACAATAAAAAGTCTCCTGACTCCACCAGAAAATTAAGCTCATGCGTAACATGAGGCTGTGCATAATTTGACAAGAAAAGGCTCATTTTAGTGCTTGTGGCTGCTGACAGGAAATTTTCAGTTAACACAGGGGACCCGGGATCTTTTGAAAAGATCCCTTTGCCAACACATATTACTGAATTAACTGTAAAAGTAATTTCATGTGCAAGACACCTGGTGTGCGGCGCATATTTCATTAACAACTTTTAAACAGGAGACTGTCTCTTAGCAAAAACAAGAAAGATTTCATTAACGTGCGCGGTGTTCGTGACATAATACGACAAGGCCAGCCTGGAGTAAATGCTAATTGCTTCCTTTGATGGGATGTAGCGTCCCTCTTCTTTCTGTGTCTTTGTCTCTTTGAGCTGAAGGGGATTGGTGTGTTATCATGAGTCACAGCAACACAAAACCATTCTCCCTGGCTCTCTGTATACCGACAGCCACAATTCAGCCCAGATGTGTTTGCTTTGTTTGTGTACCGCTGTCATTGAAGCTGCCCTTACTTAGTTCAAAAGCAATCGTTCAACTAGGCAATGAATGCAACGCCCTTTAGGTAGTCTGCAGCTTGTTAATGAGGGAAATGCCTGCACCTTTCTTTACACATTTACACTCCAACTTAGTCACACGGGTGAAAAGTACTGTAAGATATGATAATTCATTACGCTTTTGAATTCAGCTTCAAAGAATACCTTCTATTAGAAATGATAGTTATTAATATATCTTGCAGCTAAACACACAAAGACGTACACATTTGTGGGTGCAGTAAGCTTGTACGCAAAATAGGTGGAATAGTCACAGACACTGTGTGCACCACTAAACGTCTCCTGCGTGGGCGAGAAAAGGAAGTCACATTTATCTGAGAGGTGGTGTGTGTGTGAATCATTCCACTCTCTCACACATTGGAATACCAGGTGGAGAAACGAAGAGGACCAAAAAAACCTAAAATCCTACTTAAATAGAGCCGCATTTAGCATTACCGCAGACTGGTTCCATTTGGCCAGGATGCTCACATTTCACAGAATCCCGTTTTGAGCTTTTAACCTGTTCCCCACTCAGACTACTCACCTTTTTGAGCCCCAGACAAAAGCTGAGAAGCTAAAAATGGAAACAATACACAGATATTACCGCTATTGAGCACGCTAAATTACCAGATCACTGGGAAATGGTTGTGTTTTCCCTGCATGAACCCGATGTCAGTCCAGTTAAATCTGCTGTGGGTAATGGGTGGTCTACTCCTCTGTGTTGTCATTTAAAATACAGGTTGCAATTCTGTATAAATTAGTGCTATTGCAAGGGACCTAAAATAGAAAGAAAGAGTGTCTTTGTTCTCTTCAAAGCAAACCTGCCTTCCTATATATATTAATAACTATATATACAGTATATATACGTAGTGAGACTCACTTTGTGTGTTCAGTATTGCTTAGTTGTGTACTGCTATGTTCTATCAGTGTAATGACTGTATCCTTGTATAATCTGATGATGTTCATTTTGCATTATGTCTGTCACTGTGATCTTGTTAGTTGTTTTAACATTCAAGTCTGGATATGTGTGTTTATTTTTTAAGCCAGGTGGAGTTCAGTTGGGGTTTTTTTTTTTGGGGGGGGGGGGGGGGGGGGGTTGTTTTTTTTGTTTTTTTATTGAAAGAGGATGTATTTTATCGTCATCTGGTGATGAATATGGCTAAACGGAGAATATATCTGAACAAACTCTGCATGGGAAAAAGGGGACACTTTTGAAATAACTGCATAATTGCATATGAGACATCCTAATGGGCAGTGAGTATGTAGCCTCCAGTCATATTCAGCCAGTATTTGACTTTGCTAATAAAGCCATAAGCAGCGCAGTGCTTTATCACATTGGTGACATGTCAGATGATGAAGGGAGGTGCAAGTAGGTGCATTTTGCAGCAGCAGTGTTGTAACAAAGCGAGAGCTTTTCTGTACGTACAAATCTTTTCCTGTTTTTTAAAATAAAAATCAGGAATGATCTCCAAGCACACCAACAAATTCCTGAAATGTAATGGGTTCTCAATGGCTTTAAACATAGCGGGTGAGTAAATCTCAGGACTATGTCACACAATAGGGATCACATTTTAAAGAGTTCATATTTGTACTATCAATGAGACAAAGTTTGGGTCTCGAGATCTGTGCATGTTACAGGCCCTTTGCTATTTACCCTAATGGTACATTAGACTCACCAATTAGGGAGGAGAGTGATCTCTCGCTGCCCAGCACACATCTCCACTCATCTAGCTATGAAGTAGCAGTTAAGGGAACATTCATGATTTGCTGAGGCTAAAAGCTTGGTGCTTTAAAAGAGTGCTGCTAGTCTCCAAAGGACATGAAGGAAGCTTTTAACAGCATACAAAGCACTAAGTTTATTTACCACTGCTTCAAAGATGATACGATTGGTCACTGCCCTAAGAAATGAAAGGTCTCGCAGCTAAAGTTGAATGGCTTTGCATGGTATGCTTAGGAGCTTCTCTGACTTCATAAGAATAAACCAGTAGGCGTTAAAGACAAAAAATACTGATATATCTTTTGACTTAATAAAAGATTCAAATTTACACTCTTTGTTGCCTCTGATTTCACTTTTATCAGAAATTGTTGTTTCATGAAACTTGTTCTTCGCATACACATCTTAGCAGGTGTTGCATTAAATAAAGAGTATGGAGCAATGTTCTCAGATTTAGTACCAGTTTGGATATGAAACTAATACATCGAAGTTTCCAAAGTTACATTTTGCTTGTATCGTGTGGAGGGAATAGAAGAGATCCTGTTGGTTACATATGAAATACATCATCGATGCCTTGACACCATCTAGTGGTAACATTATGTAAAACACTACAGTCTGTAAATATTGACATTTGCTGTTCACTAGGAAAGTAAGGTAAGTAGTTTCATAGGAGCATTATGTCTTTTTATAATGGTTCCACTGAATCTATATTTGGTGCTGGAAAAACTGGGATCACTTAGATGATAGCGGGTATTTTATCTATGCAGAGAACACCAAAATTAATCAGTGGCACCCTTGTGTATTACAAATGAATTCATAAATGATTGCAAACTTTCTCAGAAACCTTTGACTGTGCACCACAATCACAATGTTCTAAAACAGGAAGCAGGATTTAATTTATTGATATAAATAAGTAGATCTACAGGTCTGTGTAAAAATCTCGAGTCAGCCATGATTTCTTCACATTTTCTCAGCTGCAGCGATTCTATTGAGGTCTGCAAACATACATGGAAATACAGTATTTAAGTCACAATCAGAGTTTGTACAATTCTAAAAGCTTAAAAGTCAATATGTGTTGTGACCACCTTTATTATGCGACACAGTCTGAACTCTCTTGGGCAGCTTTTTTCTAATTTCTTTAACTAGTCTTCAGAAATAGTTCCCTGGGCTTCTACAAGGACATTCAAAGCTCTTCTTTGGATGTTGACTGTCTTTAGATCATCCCACACTGCTGCAATAATGTTCAGGTTCAGGCTTCCGGGAGGCCAATCAATGACTGATAGTGTTTCATTGCGTTTTTCTCTTTTACTGCACTAGCAGTCTGTTTGGGATCATTGTCATTGCTGAATATGAAGCCGTTACCAATCAGAGGCTTTCCAGATGATATTGTATGGTGAATCAAAACATGATGGTACTTTTCTGTGTTCAACTTTCTATCAATTTTGACAAAGATCTCGGCTGAAATGCAGCCTCCACTCTCTCTCCATCACCTGTTGTAACTGATTTTCAGTCCAGTTCTTGTATAATTTGGCAACCTCAGCCTTTTCTCCACATTTGTTTTCCTTAAGAATGGATGCTTGACAGCCACTCTTCCACTGAGATCATATCTGACGAGACTTCCGGGAACTTGGTTGAAGGATCAACTTAAGGGCCATCACCCAAGTCCTATTTTTTCCATTTTCTTGAAAACATGACTTTCAGGTACTGTTCATTTGTTGAAAATCGTTTTTAGGCCCAGCACATTTTCTTTTTTTTCTCCACTTGTCTAGACTCAGTTTTTTTAAGGACACACTGCACATCCTGCTGAGATGTGCCAAGTCTTCAGCTACTAGCTGATAAATGGGAATGAAAGTGTTTTTGCAACAGTCTGCTAGTAACAAAGTGTCCAAAGATATAATCTAAAATTGGTTCTTTGCCAAGTTATCCATTACATGTAGACTCAACACAGCTCTATCCCTTGAGTTAGCTGTCTTTTAACACTTGAATATTTTAAATGGCTTCCCAAACAAAAAAGTCCTCTTTGAAAGACCTTCAGAAAGCCTGGAGAACCACTGATGAACAACAAATTATAAGAGTCTGGCTCCTTGGAAACAAAATATAAAGAAATGAGAGGTGGCTTGAGATCAATGTCGTTTATATCGTTAGAGAAAAAGCAGTGCATTTTCCAGATGCATATATAGCACCATCTGGTGTTTAAAGATGAAAAATTATCGGACGAGTAGATGCAATCGCTTTTATGAATTGAGTGGATTTCAATTTATCAAAATAAGTTTTAGTCATTAGTCTTTAATGACTCATCTGTACAGAACCGCTGTGAAATAATGAAAATCAGAGAGCAAGAGTAATGCAAGACTTTAATTGTTCTGCAACAAAAAAACTTAGTAACTTTAGCAGCATTATGAACAGACTGAGGTATACTTATGTTCTTAAACAGTTTTTATAAATTTAGCAAGAACAATTACAAATATGTCAATACAAACACTTGTTCCTGAAATCTTTGCATAAAAACCTGAAGACAAATATACACAAAAGACAAAAACCACACACACATTCACACACTCATACTATGCTGGTACCAGCTTCATCTCCAAGTGGTCGTTTTAAGACTGGCCTCTTGTTTGGCTGAAAAGCTGAGATGTAAACAGCAACTGTCACTTACCAAACACGTTTACTGTTGTTACATCACATTCAAATTAAAATGAAGAAGACGTACTGTCCATTCATGACTTTAAAATAAAAAAAGAGGAATGGATTCAGAATATAAGATAAAAGCAATACTGTGTTTAGGGGTCGAGCTTTTTGTCAAACCTTTATGTAAGTACATGTTGGATATTTTCTCCCTTCCAGAAGGCAAAGCTGGAGCAGGAAGAATGGGACAAACATTTCAACTTAGAGATCGTTGAAAGTGAAGAAGTTCAGGTTAGTAACTCGCTGCTGCTTTTGCGTTTCTGAGCAACACTCATGTGGTCATAGGCCACCACTTTCTGCTGATCGCCTGGGAGCTTCCCTTTGCTGCGGGGAGAGCGGTGATTTGGTACAGGCAAAGGGCGACACTTCTTCACATCTGACTGTCTCTTCGTAGACTCTCGTGGCTTTTTTCCATTTGAGAAGGTAGCACTGTCTGGTCGCTGAGGCTGGCCCTTCTGATGAAATAAGGGATCCCTGATGTATCTGGAGGCTTTGATCTCACTGCTTTGTAACTTCTTGACAGCTTTCTGTGCTGCGCTTGCATCTTGCATAAGTTCCACCTCTATAAGCTGAGCTTTGCTGGGACTACACACTCTCCCTGACCCGACACTTGCAGACGTGGTAGGATAAGGCGGTTTAATACTGTAAGAGTTTGGCTGACAAGGATTGTTTTCAAACTGTACCAGTGAGGTAGACTCAAGGCTGTGGGAGTGTGACCTGAGACCTGATGATACTTTAGGCATTTTCCTGCAAGTAAAAGAAAAAAAAAAAGTGAAGGTAATTCCAATAAAATAAAACTCAAAGGCAGATTCACTTACCATGAGTTTTCTGCACTATTAGCTGAAGCCTCATTTTGTTATTAGATAAATTAAACAGCGGCCTCAAGATGTTAGCTGTGATTGCTTTGACATCTGCAGGCTCAAGGTCTGAACTGTTTCTAGTACTAGACTTCAAAAAGAAACACAGTCCAATAATACTCATGGAAACCAGCTGTCACGAGTTATTTTCACCTCACTGCGCTGCAATGCTAAAATTAAAATTTTGTACTGTAAATATGGCACAATCGGGCAAAATCACATCACACACAAAAAGAGATGTTTCTTTATATTGTGGCAAACATTGGTGTTAGCTTATGCCCTTATGCCAGACCAATGGCAAAATTGTAATGCTGACGGATACCATGGCATTGTTGTTCCAGGTATGGTTTTGTGTTTCAGTCTTCTGAGTTTTGTCAGGGGTGTTATTTATAAATGTAACCAACATGGTTGTGGTTAAAAAGCAGAGGATGCGGTTGGTGGGGGTTTGCATCAAGATGAAGGATTTGAAACAGTGTGTTCTTTGAGCATTAAAGCATCCAAAGCTATGAAGCTGCAAATGAGCCTCACGGCAGGCATCAAGGCTTTTCTTTGTAATATAAGTGAAGACATGCAGTGCAAACAGATGTTTTTCAACCCGTCAGCAAAGGTAGGAAATAGAAAAGAAAAAAAAAAGCTGATGTTTCTGTTATTTAGACAATTACCAGGGAGTAGCTGAGGCCATCCACAGTAGACCTCCTCCCTGTAGCGATTTCAGTGTCTAGTTCAGTGGAGGCTCTTGCATATTGTGGATAGTTGTCTTTTAAGCTCAGTCAGCAGGTCTTTTCTTCAACTTGTTTTGGGCAAATGGGTGCCATTTAAAAAACAGTAATACTCACTTCCACAAGTGTGTGCTGACATGGCGCTCCAACATGGCACTGAGTGCAAAGCGCAGGTGGTGCAAACGCCGATCAAATGTGAAGATGCTGCAACCGAGCGTGCGACATCCAAAAGTGCATAGCTGCATGAAAGCAATGTGTAAATTTCCACCGTTAACATCTTTAAAAAGAATTGAAAGTACATAAACATCCACACCACCCTTTTTTGTTTTGAGAAATATAACATGGATTTTATGCTATATTAGAAAGATTATCACACAGCCCCTCTGAAAACAGTCATTAAAGATTTTTTTTAACGTAACAACCTTCCCATCAACCAGCTGCTGTGCATTTTGTATATCTCGCCCTCACCCCAAGAGGTTTGGGGTGCCAGGGTGTAGCAGGTAGGTCTGTGGCTTCATCCTGCTCATCTTCTTCACTGTCGTCACTTGACAAGGTGAACGGGTACGGAGGTTGCACTTCCGCTTCCACAGTGCCGTTACCCTCCTCCTCGGGAGAGCTTCCTGATGGATTCCTGGACCTGTGTGAAGGCAAAGTAATGCAAACGTGAGACTGTTGTGACAGCTAGCGCATGGCCCACAAAAAAACATTAAAATAAAAAACCTACATCAGTTTCATGTGATAAAATAAATATGCAGATATGCAAAAGACGATGCATACTTATCAGGACTGTAACATCTGTCTGGTAATCCTCAAGATTTCCATTCAAAGTGTTTTTGGGGTTTTTTTTTACTCGTAATGGAGGAAAGCTCATTATAGCGTGGACTAACACAGACTGAACTACAATGGGAGAACTGCAGCTCAACAATTTGCAATTATCCTGCATCACCGTACGACGCTGAGTATGCAGTAGTATGTTGCTTTCTTATATAACTGAAAGAAATACTTAATTTACTGCAATAATCTGCTAAGGTATACACTAAGACTCATACCCTTGAATGTGGCAGTTGTTGCTGTCTTTATTTGTTATTTTTCCCCCGTCAGCTTCCACATGTTTCTTTTTGTATTTTGATTCATCACGAAGCTTCTCCATATCTTGATCTGTAGCTGAGGTAGTTCTCTGATCAGTGGTCTTAGTCTCTCCCAACACTTTCTGCTGATGCTTGACTGAATCAGCCTATGAAAGAAAGAACCGTGAGAGAGCAGTGCAAAAGAGAAAAGGAAAAAGTGACATAGTTTGGTTTTGTATGAAATAATAAAAGATGCAATTTCCAAACTTTTATACAGTTAACTACAATAAGTAAATGATAACAACTCTGGGCAATGTGCCATGACAATGTACTGAGAGTTTACATTGCACATTAGCTCCCTGTTGCACAGTGTCTTCCTTTCGGGGTCCAAAACTCTGCCGTGTTTATTCAGATCACATTCTTTTTCTATGTGGAGAAAAGCACAAACACAAAGGTCAGTCAGCAACAGCAGGACTTGTCAGGAGGATCCATGCAGGCTGTTACTTAAAAATGCAAATACTGATGTACAACACATTAAGCCCAAGTTAACACACTAAGTGGGCAGACTTCCTAGAAAGCAGCAGGGGAAGTAATAGACAAAAGTTGGGGGGAAAAAGCTGACTTACTGTGGATGTTTTTGTAAATCCGGCTGTAGGTTCTTATGCCCCGCTGAGGACAGTGAGACTCAGTGGACTGTCCAGCTGTCAACTTCTGCACAGAGGATTTCTCTAACAGAGTGGAGGTGGAACAGTCGTCAGGGGGCAGGGGTGCTGAATGGAATGGAGGAAGGCAAGGCATGGAGGACGAGTGAGGGTTTTCCTCAGGGAACTTCACAGAAGATAAACTACAGAAAGAAGTTTAAAATGAGCTTAGAATTAACTTATTAGATTCATGATATTCAGACTTACACGAGAGACAACACTGATATTTATGCAAGATATAAACTAGAAGATGTAAATGTGTTTTTGCCTACATCTCCAGGAAGAGCAGGGAAGAGTTCTCCAATAACAATTAATCTGTTAATTTTAGCATTGACTACTAATTCTTGAACGGGCACTCGTAAACAGTACCTCACTATATATTTGTGGGTCTTTGTAGACTTGTGCTGTTGGGCAGGTGAGGTTGCAGATGAGGTGCCGCCCTTTTGACATCTGCCTTCCTTCTTCCTTTCCATAGAGGAAGAATTATTAGAAAGACCGAGGCTGGAGCAATTTAGCTGCTGAGGCGCCACAGCGGATGGCGGGTTACATATCTTTGTAACAGAACCATGCAACCTTTCACAGTGCCTCTCAAAGGCTTGAGGTTTCACCACCTGACCACACTGGCTGCACACCACCAAATAAAAATCATCGTGTGCTGGGCAGTGGCCATATATGTGCATATCTATAGAGAAGAAAAAGAAGGAGAGACAAAATTAGGTACATTTATGGTCAGATGTTTACATACACTCATGACAACATGTCATTTTGCGGCTTTCGATTATTTCTTTGAACTGTTCTTTTTTCCAGGGTGGATGATTGTACAGCAAACATCTTTACTGGCTTTAAAAAACAAGAATTAGGTGCACAAGTTTGAATTTATTTTGGAAATGTTCTAAAGCACACAGGGTCAGAAGTATAAATACGGGCTCAACACAGCCATGGTCTGAGTTTCAGGAAGGCCAATCCAGAAGCTTAAAGTGAACTTGGTTTATCCATTTTAAAACCAGCTCTGATGTGCACCTGGGATCATTTTCCTGCTGGAACACCCATCCAAGTTTCAACCAGCTAGCTGCTGAATTGACGTGGAGTTGAAGAATTTGAAGCTAGTCCTCTTTCTGTGAATTGTACCAGTGCCACATGATGCTACCACCACCATGCTTAACAATAGGTACAATGTTCTTATGTTTTAAAGTCCTTCCTTTACTTCTCCAAACATACCAATTTTCATTGTGGCCAAATAACTCAATCTTTGTCTCACGTGACCATGAAACCTTTGTGCAGAAGGCATATGGGTTGTCCATGCAGGCGGCTGCAAATTTCAGTCGAGTTTGAAGCCGTCAGCTTTGGACCAGGCACCTTCTCGTACCAATGCAATGTAAACATAGTGACATTGGTGCTCCAGGAGTTTCCAATGCATGACAAGCTTGAGCCTTGGTGGTTTCTCCTTCTTAGATCTTCACTGAGTTCTTTAAACACTCCTATTGCAGTCAGTATCGCTTAAGCCAATGAGTGATGTCAAGCAAATCTACCAGTTGTAATTAATCATGATCACTAACAAGAAGTTAATAAGCCTTGGCCTTGTCAAGTTAAAAGATACCGTAAAAACTTCAGCAACACTTATTAAAAATGTAAGTTACTGTATGTCTACATTTGAGCCTATTATTTCAACCCTGTGTGGATGAGAAAAAAAATCCAAAATAAATTCAAACATGTACATCCAATTCTTGTTTTTTTTTTAAGTCATTTAAGATGTATGCTGTACAATCATTACACCCCGGAAAAGCAAAAGTTCAAAGAAATTATTAAAATCCACAAATAACCACGACGTTCATGTCCGTGACGATTGTAAGCAAATTTCTAACTGAATGCGCCCAGTCACAGTCCTCACCTTCTTTTCCGAGCGTCATGGTCTCTGAGCAGTTCATCCCATACTCGTCATCTTCAACCTTAGACCCAGCTGCAGGCAAAGCAAACCCGTGAGCATGAAATACTAAATTCTAGTATCTTCTTGCCACAAACGGGTTTATTTGGTTATACAGTAACAGATGCATATCACACATGAGAGGGTTTCACGCGTCAGTTTGAATTATTCATCCACAGCTATTGCCAACTGATTACAGTCACTTTTGCTGTAAAAGCTTTAAGTTGAGCAAATTTTCAACTAAATTAATGCTCTTGTCTCTGATCCAAAACAAACCGCGTCTTTCAGTAAGACTTTAACATTCTGTTTTCACCACATAACAGAATAAGGAGGAAATTCTTTCCATTTGTGCTCATAGGTTGTCAACAAACGACGAAAGATCGCTGCACTAGGACCCAGCGCGTCTTTTGTTTGGGTCGTGCCTTGTGTCGCTGTGTGTGTTTAAGTACCAAAAAACGAAACAAATCGTCGGATGCTGACGTTATGACGTGCTGGGAATCAGGTCTGGAGCTGGGGTGCACGACTCACCGTCAGATGATAAAACATTCACTCTGTCTACCCAACAGCTCCAGTTTAATCCGACAAAGTCGTCGAGATTAGGATTTCGCCGATCCAAAGCGGCCATTGCAGCTCTTGCGCGCTCACGATTCGCCAGTTCACGCGCAGTTCACGAAGCTCGTGACCGTGCTGATCCATGTTTACTCATATATTGCCAGAGTTTTTATTATAAAAGTACAAAATTTGAGATTTTGCATCGCTTTATATTACCTATTTTAAATAAATACTGTATATATATATATATATATATATATATATATATATATTAGTTTAGTAGTAAAAGTTTAACTTATTCTGCAGCGCTGTAGTTCGACGAAAAATGGCTCCACAGCAATTTCACAAAGCTGGTCATATGCTTTTTTTGTGTCTGAACAACTGTGCAAACCATAAAAATGTTCCAGTAAAACAAATTAAACATATACACGCTGTGTTTTTGAGTTCAAAAATATTCTGCACTTTATGCAGTGATGAAGCTCAGCAAAGGTCAGGTATCAGGTCTACACAGGTTGTAAAATTTTTAAGTGGGGCACAACCATTACACACGTAACCCTTAATGTGTGTAAGACCTGAACTCCAGTGTACCCGCCTTACAAACATGTTATGCAATATGTGCTGCCACTGAAATAACAGGCATAAAAAACTGATCTGACAACAAATATGGTTCTTTCTTTTAATCAAGCAAGACATTTCATGTCCACACAATTTCTTTCTGTATTCGACCACAGACTCCATTCTCTTCTGTAGCATTTTAACAACAATTTGATTGATAAAGCTGGAAACTGGGAATCAAGCCCGCTCACAAAAAGTAGGAAATCATAAGAGTGGTGGAAATTAAGGCAGATGGCTTGCATTCCCTTATAACAAAGAGGAGGTAGAAGCCTCGCAAAAGAGAGATAAGAAATATACAATTACTGAAAACAGGCAAGAGATTAGTCAACCATTTAAGAAAAAAACAAAACAATAAAAGAACCAATGAGTAGCTAAGCTCACACAAGAGGGTTGACAACATTACTGAAATAGTGTATTGAACAATGTAATTTTAATACAAACTCCTCAATTTAAACACACTCCTTGATTTAGAAAGGTCTAGAAACAGAAAAATGCAAGTCCTATTGGGAGAGCGCCCAATAAATATCTTATAATTCCAAGCAATCGTGAGAAATGTGAAATTCCTAAAGAGTTGGCATGTTCCTAATGAACAGAGGCATCACATACAACAAAATATTTAGCCGTTAGTCTAAACAAGTGAAATCAGCCTGACGTGAAGAGATGATGAGGCGTAATAACAAAAAAGATTAAACGGGACTCTGACCCACTTTAAACAATCTCACACTGGCTACTTTTTTAATGAATTTTTCGAAACTCTATATTTTCAGGCCTTTATAATAAAGATTGTGCTGAAATTCGTATCCACAGTCTACAGTTGTGTTAAGAATCAATGCACTTAAACTATATTTTATTTGTTAGGTTTCTTGCACTTCATACACTCAACAGCCCTGAGCCTTTAAAAAAAAATTTCTGAATGCAGAATGTATGGTTACAAAATACTGCACATCCATAGTCTCATTAGAAATAAGGGGCCCTTCATATTTGATGCATAGATATAAAAATGTTCTTTGTAAAATGTGCTTGAGAGAAAATCCAGATCTGAAATTAATACTGCAAAAAAAAAAGAGCAGTCAGTTTGAAATACATTTGTTATACGTAGAATAGTATTTTTCCTTTTGCAGTCCTAACCAAAAGCATTTGTGTAGGAGCACTACATGTTAGACTATTTTAAAATGACGTGGCTGTGTAGTTAGAATGGCTTCGGTCACCCCTCCACATTTGCAGGTGGGTTGGCCGATTTGTGGAAAGGCGTTTCCTTGTAAATAAACCAGCAGTTGCCTCCCCACAAGATGAGGTTAAGAAAACCAAATACCTGCCGAAAAATAAAACAGAAGAAGTCAAAACTGTACATGGGTAATTTAAAAAAAAAGCAAGGATAATTATCCATTTAAGGCTTATTACTTAAAATAAATTGCATAAAGCTTACCACAGAGGCATTCAATCGACCCATGGAAGGCAGAGCCACCGTTGTGCACGTGTGCACGCCACCTTTGCAAACGTCAATAAGAGTCCGCAAGAATGTAGGATCGGTAGCCCTCTTGACATCAGACAAACCTTTACCCCAAGCAGAAGATGATACCAACCACAGGAAGGCGAACACTGCAGTCAACCCCAGGTCCTTATTGAGCAGCAAAAAATACATGTCACTACAAAACCCACAAGGAGACCCAACTGAAATGTTTTCAGCAGAGAACAGAGCAGTGTCCAGCTGCTTGGAAACCACGCCCTCCCCAGTTTTTCATTTTCATATCTCTGTTAAATCCTCAAACTTGAGAGTGGACATCTCGTTATCTCTGCTCTCCTGCATTACTAAAGTGAATAATTACAAATCATAAAATATGTCCTTACTTCAAATTTGCTTTAAATTGGTCGTTCTGTAATGTCATCTTGACCTGTGAGCTGTTTGGAGGACGACCTAGCTAAGCCAAAACAACAGAGAAATAGAGTGAATCCAGTCAAACCTACCAGGATTGGGCCCCGACTAGGTTCCCTGTACAAGTGGTTGTAACACAAATAGATGATTAGCGTGGCGGTGCTGTAGAGGAACGCAAACACACCAATACAGACATAAAACTGCGCAGAGGATGAGTGGTCTCCAGTCAGAAAGTAATTAGTGGATGTTCCATTACAGTTAGGGACAGCGTAGGGATGATCCATCAACCTGTGTACACACAAAGAACGCATTAGAAATTATGACAATCGTTAAAGAAAACACACTTTCCGGTAAACTGGAATCTGAGGTGTGGCACTGTTTGTTTTGGCACCTGAATGGGTAGTTAAAGTTTGCTGTTATTTCTTTATTTTCTGTTCCGTTGCATTTGACATTGATGCTGGATGAGCCACTGTAACCTCCGGTTGTAGCAAAGGCAAATATGGAGAAGACCTGCACACACACACACACACACACACACACACACACACACGAATATATAAGATAAAGGGATACAAATTAGGTGCTCAGGATAGAGTGCTGAACATAACTGTCACACAAATGTACCCACACTTCCTTCCAGATTTTATGCAATTAACTTTTTTTTGGTTTGGTTTTGTGTAAGACTTCCTGTCTTACACAAAACTATCAGGGTGACAGCTGTACAGAGTAGCAAAATCCGGTCTTAAAGTCATGCAATGCTGCCAGAATGCTTTATCCAGTAGCTGGAAGCGCAGAAATGAATATCAACCTGCACATATGAAATAAAATTTGGTTTTATGCGGCTACGCATGTTAATCGGACCCTATACTGTAAACCCTCTGGCGTGCAGAACACTGAACATCCTGCCTGCTACACGTTGGTTTTTGGTTTGAGCCGCATAAAGGCCTATTATAGGAAGGCATCTTGACTCGAGTGCAACTGCATGCCGTATTTATAACAGTGCTACAGCTCAAATGATGAATTGGATGGCTTATCTGGGCGTAGCAGTGGGTCACAAGACAAATAACACAATCAAGTTATGAAGTAGTTTTGCAGCCAAGGAGGCTTCCTACGCAAAGCACACCCCGCCATACAGGCCATATGGTAAAAAGTAAAAGGAAAGAAAGCAAAAAAAAAGAAAAGTGAAGAAAAAACTTACCCATTCTAGCAAACGGATGAATGCCAAAGGCTCTTTAAGAGGTCCAAAGTCAAGACTGAATCCCGAAGTCATCACTTTCTAATCGAAAATAAAGACACAGCGTGAGAAAGACGGAGTTGCACTGCCGAGGAGGGTCGGGCGTAAATAGGAGTGTTTGCTCAAAAGTGTCCATTCATCAGATATACGTCATTAACTGCTAAACTCTTCCTGTAGCGCGTTTACCTGCGCAACGGATTCCATTGTTTCCCCAGACTCAAAATCAGAGTTTAGGAGCGGTTATGAATCGCCGATCCTGGTCTCTTTGCAGCTGCGTCGAAGATCCTTGGTCTTGTCAAAACTTTTCCAACAACTTTGCTGACTTGGAGCTGACAACACGTGATCACCGACGAAGGGGGGCGCTGCTTAACAGCAGGGTTCAAAGTGGAGGAAATGCCATCCGGTAGCTCCTGTTTGTTTTTCGCCACTAGGCGTTCATCTTTGTAGGTTACACTACACAAGAAAGAGTTTTTCAGAGCTTACAAATGCAAAAAACATGTGAAATTAAATTTTACTAGTTGCCCTAAAGACACAGAAGTGTAAGTGCCAGAAGTAAACGTGGTATTTGCAGAACATTTGAGATCACACAAGTTATTCTTTATAGTTTTCATGTGGACTTACATGAGCTTTAAGTGAGATGTACCATTAATTTAATCGTCCTGATAGTGTTTCTTGTCTAAGACTTGCCCGTATATGTCTTAAAGTTTGCTCACGTTTGCTTCACATCCCTCATGCATAGATGTCTTTAGTGTGTATATAGTATGAGCTGTAGGCCTGTATATGTGTCCACAGCTGCACTGTGTCCAAGTGTATTTAATGTTTCTGAAAATTGCAGTCAGGTTCTGTTAAATTTGTTGACATGCTGTGGAAGCAAATTCGATTCCTACTATGATTTCTGTGAATCATCTGATGGTGCTGTGCAGAGTTTATTGCATATAATGAAAAAAAAAAAAAACCCAACCAGGATGTGTTGACTTAAGGAGGAGCCTTTTAACACTTAAGTAAATTTGGCTTTTTTTTTTATTAAGCCTGTTGAGAAACTCTTGCTTCGCTTACCAAAGTGATGACCATTTGACCTTTTGAAAAAGTAGCGATTTATTTATTTCGGTGTCTATAATCTACTTGTCACATTTTCAAATAATTCTTTAAATTTAACTATTTTGCTACAAAATCTTATTGGTTAAACTGGTGCATTAGTGATGGCATTTGTTAGGTATTTTAGTACCATGGTAGCATTTACTGGATATTGTTTTATAGTGACATTATGCAGGAAAACTCTGTCATTCAATAAGGCCCTTTTGTTTTAGTTATTTTTCTCTTTGACCCAAGAATTGATGTGTGAGAATCACAGGCTGGTACAAGGTTGAAATACCACAGAGAT